GACAGTGCCCTGCCCGATAAACCGAGATTCAATGCTGAACTTGTCCAGCTCACTAGTAAGATCCCTATTACTCCTTCCAAACCCACGCTAGATACCTCAGAGACCTTATTCACACGTTCTAGTCAATATACGCGCTTACTGATCTATCTACGGATGAGATATCAGTCTCATGTCCAGACCAGCAGACTAAGCCGCTCCTGACCTCAGATGAAACTGCAGTCTCAAGCTCTCAATTATGAGGTACGAACGAGACTAACATGTCACGTTCCAGTTGCAAAGTACATCTTCCTGTACGCTTTCGTAACTAATCTCTCAATTAGTAACGGGCATGGTATAGGACTCAAAACTATGCTACATGCCTGCTACATCTTTTTGTTTTTCTTTGGCTTTTTATCCTAAGCACATGCCACCCACCACTGACCTGCTGGTACGGCCGACGTCAATCAACCTTGGTAACTGCTGGCCTGATCACCCACGCACTTGTCTATGCACTCAGTCGATATTCTTGTTCAGACTGCGTCTTTCATACGTATGATCCTGAACTTAGTTATCAGTATACCTTCTGGTTTCCCAGCTCAACAGGGTTTCGTCCTACGTCTGCAATGTCTTCTCGGCCCTATGAACGCCATTGTCAGATTCTTGACACAAACCACTCTGATGTGGTACGCCAACTCTGTCGTTGATGCATGGAGATATTACATTCAGTGACGGGAGCGTAACTGCTCTGTAGTGGTGTCTGTAAGCACTCTCGACTCGCGCCATTACAACGTATTTACCAAATGTCAAACTAACTTTTCCATCACAATTTATTTGTAACAACAAAGTGATGTTTATGAGTAAAATATGCAAAATGTTATTGCAGATAAACTCACTTTTACTAGTCTGTTTCATGTTGCTCACATTCGTTGAACTAGCTGAAAAGCCAATTTATTGTTATTGTAGTACACATTAGAAAGATTTTCAGTTGAATGGAAAAACACACTGTTTAGAACTGATCATACGACAATGACTGAAATTTCTGTTCAATGTTCAGTGAAGTGTTCCCATTGAACTTAAAGTGAGGATTAGAAAGAGCTAACAAGTTAAGAGAATCGATTTAGTACATTTCGAGATCACTGCTTTTTAAATTATATCGAGGATTGAATTTATATCAGTTATTTGTTTATTTACTAAACACCGAAACAATTACTGTACGTGGTGTTACGTTCTCTAAGCTGGATGTTTTGGTTGTGGAGCTTTCATTGTTCTTCTGAACAATATCATCAGCACAAACTTCAGATAGAAGTGAAGCATTCGAATTTCTCCACGTTTGACCTGTAGCTTGTTCTGCTAACCTCGATCCTGATTGGTTGCTGTTGACCTTAAACCTGTCGTTGTTTGAACCTTCGTTTTGACTGTATCTCCCTTTTGATCTGTTTCTTGATCCTGCGTCACCTATTATTTTCCTGATTGGTTGATAAATTGTGTTTGTTGATTGCTGATTGACCTGAGTCCCAAGCTTCTAAAAATTCTCTAGTGTTCTCTGTCCTCGCCCTACTCAGTATTTCCACATATTTTCAATCGAATGTGTGTCAATAACTGTCGGTGTGTATTCATATAAGCGGAGAATTGACATGGTGTTTGACTGCTGAAGAGGCCATCCACTTTATCTCATGTACTGTTTTTCACACTCTGAGCAATTTATTTTGTAGATGATATTTGGTTTTTCTTCCCTTTTCATTTTGTCTTTTGGTCTACATAGGACTGATTGAAGTAATTCTTTTGGTTTTTGTGCCACACCAATTCCTAATGGTTTCAGTAGTCGTGCTGTATGTTTCCATATGTCTTTTATGTATGGTAGGATGATTCGTTTGTTGGTTACTGTACTTGATTTCGCTTCTGTTGATGATTTCGAACGTTGTTTTTTGATCAAGTTGTGTGAATAGCCGTTCTTTTGGAAGATAGTCACAAGGTTTTTTTCCTCAATTTTTAGTGCTTCATATGTGCTGCATTATGTCTTCGCTCTCTTGAACAAAGTTTTTATGCAGTTGATTTTGTGGGTTATTTGGTTGTTGCTACCGTAGTCGAGAATTACGTCTTTATGGTTTGGCTTCTGACATACTTGAGTTTCCAGGTTTCCAGTGTTAGTTCTGGTGATTAGTACATCCATGAATAATAGACTGTTGTTTGATTCCTTTTCCATCGGGAACTTTATGTCATCGAGGACGTTGTTGATCTGATTGTAGATGTTCTTCAGCTCGTTCCTTTTGATAATGACGAATGTGTCGTCTACATAGCGAACCCATATTTTTGTCTTGATCACTAGTCTCTGCATTACAGCTTCCGCTATGTGTCTTGATATCGGTGATCCTACTGGAGTTGCTTTTCTTTGATCATAGACACTGTTGTTGAATTGAAAATACGTTGTTAAGCATAGATCGATGAGTTCAAACAGGCTTTGACTCTGAGGCTTTGTATATTTGTGCAGATTTGTTTCGTTGATGAGAAGCAGGGAAAGAGTTTCTTTAGCCAGACTTGGCTCTATTCAGGTGAACAAGGCTGTTACGTCGAAGGATATCATCGTCTCGTCGTTGTCGATTTGAATCCCCTTGAGTTTATCCAGGAACTGTGTGGCAGATTTAATGGAGTAGTTGGACCCATCAACCAGATGCTTTAATATCCTTGAAATTTCTCTTGATAAGTTGTAGGTCGGGGTACTGGGGAGGGATACAATAGGGCGTAGTGGAATGTTGGGTTTGTAGAGTTTTGGCCTACCGTAGAATCGTGGAATTACTGGTCCACTGGATTTCATTCTCGATTGATCCTGTTTTGATATTTGTCCTGCATTGACAAGCCTGTTTAGAGTCCTTTATATTTGGTTGTCCAACTTTTTATTGGGTTTGCGTTGATTGGTTTATATACGCCTCTGTCCTGAAGTAGTTCATCGACTTTCTTGATATATTCTTCCTTGTCCATAATTACTGTCGTGCGTCCTTTGTCCACTAGAACTACGACTATACCTTCCCTGGCTCTGAGTTTCTTCACAGCCTTTCGTTGTTGTGCTGTTAGTAGGTTGCTGTCTCTCTTCCGCCAAGTTGGTGGCACAATCTTTTGCCTTATTTCTTGTTGAGTTTTTTCACTTGCTCCTGCAGTTTTAAGTGATGACTCTAGTGCAGCGAAGAATTCGAGTTTTGAAGCGTCCTTCGTGTTATAGTTTATTCGTTTTTGGAGCATTCGTTCTTCTGTTGTCGTTAGGTGTTGTTTCGAAAGGTTGACCACACAATTGGTTGCGTTTTCTTCTGTGCGTGGCGTTGAAATCTTGATTAGTTTACCATCGAGGATGCTTCTTCCTTGTTTTCTGTGTCGTCTGCTTCACAGTCCGATCGCAGCTGTCAATGTTGTTAAGTGTTCTGATGTGAGTATTCTCCCTAGTTTCCGTTTTGTTCATTCATGTTGTGCTGGTATTTGTGAATCCTGTAGTGTGCATCGGTGGTCATTAGTTGCACCATATGTCTTCCACTTTGTTCCGCCATTCGCCATACAATTGGGCAGTTGTTTATGACTGTCATTTCAGGGTTGTGCATATGTTGAGTTTTGATGACATCATGAATCAAACAATGTTTATCCCCCATTAGGGACCTGGAAGCAGTTGATGGCCGTTTCGTTCTTCACTTACGTGCTCAGAAACCCAATCTCTTGAATGCACACATTAGAACGAAGGTTCTTGTTTACTGGAATATAAAAAAAACATGTCGTTTGATTAGTTCACGACATTCATGTTTTATTCCATTATGTCATAACCTGTAAATCAATGCGAACTTAATTACTGTTCAATGTTCCTCAGAATTCATGCATTCAACATTGCATTAAACTAGTTCTCTCAGTATAAGTAAAATATCCAGAAAATATTAAGCAAAATATGGTAATCGTCTCACCTGTTCTATTGGACTTATTTCCATATTTCTGTTTGTATAAGAAAATTACACACATATACACAGGATTATTAATAGAAATAGTCCGTTGTAAAAAAAAAAATCAAACATTTATCGGATGAACATTCGAAAGTTACAAATTAATCTGTTCTATGTATCAACTAACAGAAATCATCACAAATCAATGTGTTGCTGATATCGATTATAAAACAAACTTAAATAAACCCGTAATTTACAGTAGATATTATTAACATGATGTATTCAAACTTTTTAGCTTCACGATACAGTTATCTATTTTTACACGATCAATTGTAACAAATTTGAATTCAAAAATTTATCTGTATTCTGGAAGCATGACAATTTATCAATACATTATAATCACAAGTATAATTGCACACAACTTACAACTGTTCAATGTTCAGTGTAATTTTAAACAAAAAGAAAGAAAAAAATGCAATGAAATCATGAATTGTGTACTTTGTGGCGCAACGCATTCATTTTGTTATTGTTTGTTTTATGTCATAGATATTTATTTAATTTCATAGAATGTCATTTCACTAACTGAAAGTTAATTACTTCTATCTCAGAATACACTGCATGAATAAAGTGAGGTAGTTTTGAGTACATATTTCTCATTAAGTATTAGTAAATTAGATTTTTTTTCTTCTGAACAAAAATTATTCGTTTAATCATGTAAATCAAATGCTTTATTCTTGAAGAAACAACAACACAATCTATAACAGTAGTGCAATATCATGCGTTGATTGAACTTAAACATTAAGACGAACGCCAGCAGGCTCAGTGATCGTGGGGGTTGGGTGTTTTGGGATCGATTCCAGCCAGCGGCACCATCTATGAACATCATTGAGAAGTTGCATACTAGAATGAAACGACAGTCAAGTTCTTCCAGGCTGCTAATCGTAGTCTAGCATTGATCAATTTACAATTCCAATGATATCATATATTATGGGACGATCTTTGACGTTAAACTAGAGATAGAAATCAGTGGTGAATATGAAACAACTACTTTATAAGCACATGATGCAAAATAAAACTTCAATAACTTATCACTAAATTCATTCATTTTGTTCAACACTTACCTAATTCAAATAAACCAAAATTATTTTCATGATAACCTGCTAGAATAATCTCTTCTTCAGCTTGTAATTCCTCATTAAAATTAAAACTTGTCTCGTCAATCGAAACAATATGCATACGATGAAATCCAGATGCATCTTTTTTAAAAATCATTATCAAATCTGCTGGATTGCAAGTTTCCTCGTTTAATTCCCATGTTATATAAGTGGGCTTTTCATTTGTTGGCTCTAATTTAGCATTTTTCAATCGGAAAACTAAAAAATTCAAGTAAATAGATTTAAGCAACAGAAAACAAGAAAATTGGTGAATTATTGCTAACTAAATCTTCTAAACACAATCTGTATATAAGTTTTTGTTGGAGACGTTAGATCCTCAGAACTCGCTTGATAAATGAATTTATTTTGGATTTCAGGTTTTCGAGCAAAGGCTGATCGGTTGACCTGAAGATTTCACTTCCCACCAGAAAGTGTGCTATTTTTGTGACTGTCCCAAGGACGTTTCTATGATGTATAAATAAACGAGATTTGTGAGCCTGAATGCATTGTGCTTCGTAGGTGTTTGTAGAATATACTATCTCTTTAGCCGTTTCGGATCAAGGTAGCCTACCTGGACGCTGGTTTACTGTCTCGTTCCAGTTTATCGACTAAGGTGAACCCGTAGTAGCTTCAGACATACTTAGTGACGAACCTAACAGTGTTTTTTTCGAAAAATAGACAGTTTAATCATTAACATGGAGTAATCAATTTTTTTGTTCCAAGAACATTTATACAAAAACCCGGAAACATTGATGAACTGGTTACCCCTGTTTAATAGAAGTGAGAAATTTATGATTCTATTACGAGGGGATTGATTTGCAATTCAGATATATTCACTGTTCAATTTAAAAATATATTGGAATATTGAAAATATTTCAAAATATTTTAAATACAATATATACAGCTAAGAGAACGAAACTTTACTGTATTTTTCTAGATTTCTCTTTCACTTATATACACTTATTTCTGTACCATTTTGGTTCGCATCATTTATGAGTAGACGGATTTGTTCATAGTATTTCTTTAATTCTATTACTGTACAATCATATAGATCATATTTAGAACACATATAAGCTAACAATATTGTTTTCGATCGGATCGTCATCAGGCTTTACTCTAATATACATGAATATTGATATGAAAATGTCAAACCAATCAAGGCAATTTGAGTCAGTACTACCAGGCAACTTAACCAACGAATGAGTGAATATCTCCAAGCATGGTTTAAGAAGGGTCAGTCAAAAAAAACTACGCAGTTCGATCTTAGCACACCTGGTTGATAGTGGTCATAATGTAGATAAATCTAGATCTTTTTGGGTGATCTGACGTATACCTCAATTATTTCCCAACGGAGTTCGATCCCGTCTCCTACACATAGCAGAAGCCATAGGAATTCGTACATTCAACCCCAATTTATGTGTTCAGAAGAAATTCGTGACACTCCTATCTTTTCTGTGGCCGGATATGACTTAAATAACGATTGACATTATATTTTTTTATCTTATTTTATTTTTACACATTTGCTTATTACGTAATGATTTTAATGTTTTTTTAATGATTATTTGAAGTCTATTCATCCACCTTTGACCTACGATTGATAAAACTTTACTTATCATATTTTATAATTTTCTTACTACTATCAGTACACCTGTCTTCCTACTATCCACTTGTACTTTTGCCTATTACATGTAGTTACGTAATCTCTATTTCATTTCATTGTGATTATCACTCAAATTGCCTTGATTGGTTTAACATTTTCAATATAAATATTCATGTATATTAGAGAGTAAAAAGCCTGATGACGATCTAATCGAAAACAACAATCATTGTTCACTTATAATCTGTGTTGTTCTAATTTTCACAATGGGAATCTTTAATACTCTTACATCATATTTAGTAGTAGAATACAATATCAACAAGTTATTCTGTTATATAGCGTCGTTGTCTTAAATATTGCATTAAATTGAGCTGGCAAAATATTAAGCGTCACCGTCTTGATTGTTATCAACTTGTCAGTAGTACTTAGTATATATATATATATATATATATATATATATATATATATATATATATATATATATATATCTGATCATATTGGCAACAAATAGAAAACTAATCGATAATCGTACTACAGACTTAAAAATTTACTGTAATAAAACCGTTCAGTTGACACCTGCCTCTAATAAAGTAAAATCCATCAATAAATCAATGTGACTATGCAAACATCACCTACTGATAATCTATAGCTTCGATCAATCAATAATCAACACTTCAAATCATTTGCAGTTTTATTTTTTTTCATCGTTTTTTTGAATACACTTCCAAAGAGATCAATTCTCAAGGAGTGATTGATAAAAACAATATGTCAATTATCTTCAAAATTTTCAATCCTCCTGATTTTTTTTTTAATTCAAAGACATCTTATTTATGATTTAATTTACTATTTGGAAACTTAGGAAGCGCTACCAAGCATACTAAAGCAGTATGATCGATGGTATGCTCTTTTCTTTTTGACTTGTTATAACACAAGTCTTTAATTTGGAAGCGGTTTCGTCTATCGATATTTGTCATGACATACGGTGTTTCTTAGAGTTGTGATCATGACTACCTTTTTGTGGCCTTTCTAGAAACGTTGCACTTTTTTTTTTACATGACTTCAGTCGAATGTCGCTTGTCCGTTCGCAGTGAATGCTTTGTTCAACACATGAGGAAAAAGCAGACACGGGTAACTATTTTATATGCTTGATTAGTTGGCCAGCAGTTCACAATATTTACCATCTGTGAGATGAATGTGTTGATGTGAGTATGCAAAAATTACCTACTATAATCTATAGATACGATCAATTAATCATTTGTAATTGTATTGCTTGTATTTGGATATATAGTTTAATAAAGAAATCAATCATTATGAATAATCTTCAACATTGTTCACTGGTTATTTATTGATTTTCATTTCAAAATGGATCAAAACAACAACAACAACAATATCAACAACAACAAAATCAAACTTACTTCGTTTATAATTTAAATTTCTACTTGAAAGATCATTTTTTATAAGTGACCATGTTAAATCAGTATGATCAATGGTATACATTTCATTTGTACATGCTGTACCAATAGTTTGTAATTTGAAAGCAGTTTGTTCAACTCTGATTTGTTGTGTTATACCATGTTTCTTTAAATTCAATTGTAAAGAATCTTGTGAATGTTTAACAAATGGAGTCCATTGAAAATATAAATATGCTTCACTTTCTTGTAATAACCAGAATGTTGATTCTTTTGAATTTTCTACATAATATAAACACATAATATATATATATATATATATATATATATATATATATATATATATATATATTCTGATAAATTAGAATAATTGATCATAGCAAGTATTCAATTATGTGAACAGAAATGTTTCCTTTTTTATGATCAACAACAACAAACAAACAAATTAAATGATTTAAAAATCCTACTTGTATGAGGAGAGGATGTAATTTAAACCAAAAACAAAACCCTGATTTTTATAAGTTAAAATCTTAAATAAAATTTAAACTTTCTACCAAGTAGCCAATTGTAAACTACGCCTAAATTATTGAATTTCATTGTCATTTATGGGGCTCTACCATAGCTGCTACCTTGATATGGTGATCGGGCTTGCCTATTGTGATAAACCAAACAAGCTCTATTGGCTAGAACATATGTTTCTAAAGATTCTAACATGCCAGGCAGGTTGATTGGAGAACGATGAGACTAAAAGCAGCTACTCAAGGTGTCAAGGCAAAGTCATACTGCTGACTGTAAATGGGTGTGACAGTAGTAATAAGTGTTTCCCTCGGGACATCCAGCATCTGCAGCGATGCTGCCTACTCACAAGGAAGGAAGGGTTAGAAAAGGTCGACCCTTAGAATGTTACACCTCACCTCACCTCACGCATTTCCGTCTCCGGTGCTACGGGCTGCCCACTTAGGGCTTTTAAAAAGAGCGGAGCTAATACTCGAAAAGCCTTAAATAAAAAGGTCATGCATGACCGGCCTCAAAAAGTTGTCGCTTGGGCTGTGCGGTCACGCTCCTAGGTCTATAAGACTAACACACATTTACCTTCCTTTTCAGCATCCTCAAGAAACACCCTTCCACGGTGTTGGCAGCCGGAGACTGAAAACCACCCTCATACCTGTAAGAGCACACGAGACCGAATTGGTCCCAATCAAATCCTTCCTACTCCCACTAATATCTCTCTTATCTCCAAGACTAACTCTTCTCATATTCCTTTATCACACACCACCGCTAATGCAAACGATTCCAGTTCACAAAACGTTATTCCTAGAGCAATTTTTCGTGGTGTTGGAGTAGGTTGAATGAAAGCTGTGGGCGGCCACACCAAAACACGGCACAAATCCATGAAGTCACTGACAGGCCGACTGAGTCATGTTGGTAGATGTAGGCTACCTGGTTGTGGTCAGCGATACATAAGTCACCAATGGTTAGAGACTTTGAACGACGTGGCTCCAAATCGTTTGTAATGGCGCAAGTGCATCTACTCTTTGTGTTCTCTGTAATTCTAAACTTCTGAATTCCTCATCACATCTCTCTTTCGCCTTCTAAAATTATCTCACTGAATTATACTTCTGGAATCATATCTTCGCTCCCTAATCATCTCCATTACTGCTTATACTTCTACTATCGCTACCACTATGTGAGTTGAACTGACCAGTACGTCTCTGTGTTAATGCGGTATGACAGCCTGAACTGATGTACCTACGTACGAAGTTCTGCTTTGTATCTGTCATGTCGTGTCATGTCATTTATGGGGTATAATTAACAGAAACTACAATGATTAAGCAAACTGGTGAAATAATAAACCCTGTAATATATTATAGTAGTGCATATAACTCACAATATCTCTTATAAACCGTATACACACGCATATCACAAGGAAGTTATTATGAACGATACCAGTTTCAAGAATTCATAATGTACATTGTAAAATCAGATTGTTTAGAGAGCACCAAAAAAACGTGCACCATGTAAAGACATTCTATAATTATTATTAGCTTCCAATGCAGAACACATAGAGGTAAAAAATGATTAAAGACTAAGTTGCTGGGGACGTTAGATCCCCAGAACTCGCTTGATAGATGTCTTCTTAATTTTGGATTCTATTCATGAACTGATCAGTTGATCTTGAGATCACATTTCCCACCAGGAAAATCCTTGGCTGTCATTGGTTGATGAATTATTTTAGAGTGCCATTCTAGTGACTCTACCAAGGATGTCTCTATGATGTATAAATAAACTCGATTTGTGTACTTGTCAACCTCGTATTTCTGGGTGCTTGTAGAATACACTTTCTACGCCATATAAAGTCTTCTTGATATAGTTAACCGGGCCGGTGACGACAGATAAGTAATAGCCTACTGTGTCACTGGTTCATTATCTTGTTCTTATTTATCGACTAAGGTGAATTCGTAATAGTTTCAAGCATATCAAGTGACGAGGATAACAACATAAGTGTACAGATATTAAAATAGAGAATCTATGTTTCGTTTATATTTTTATCATAATTATTGTTAAATTTACACATTTTAAATCATCAATCAATCATTGTTAGACCACCACCATTAGAAACCTGGAAGCACTGGTCGGTCGTTTCGTCCTGGTATGGGACTCATCAGTGACATTGCGCATCCACGATACCAGGATGAAACGGCCGTCCAGTGCTTCCAGGTTTCTAATAGTGAGTGGTGTAACAATGATTGATTGACGATTTCAAATGTGTAAAAACACAAATCTCCAAAACTCTAACTGAAAATATTATTAAATTGTATAGACATTGATTTAACAAAATTGTAACATTACTATAGATATAGATGTATGCTTTGATTGTTAAATACATGAATATTAATTGATATACACCTAATCAAAATAACATCAATATATAGAGAGCAGTGGTGAATAATGGCTAGCAGAGAAATCTAGGTAGCGTGTTTCATCCTTTATGAGACTTATCTACAACTGGATGAACCTATATTTCACATTTGATGTTTTCACTCTAACACTCACACCAACGGGATTTCCACATATTCAATGAGTTCAGATAATCACTGGTTTAATGCAACAATAAGGTAAAAATTATTTCATTTATGTTAATTGTTTGGACATTTCCATTGATGTCTTGAAGTGAACATCAACACTCAGATGCAAGGTTCATCAAGCTGCTTGCTGATGAGACCTGAATAGAATGAAACACATGTCCTAGATTACATTGCTAACCACTACATATCTGTACTAAAATAAGGCTTGTGACCTTAACACAATATGAAGTCAGTGCCTAACAGACCAATCAATTACAATCCAAAGCATCAATGGGAATAGTGAAACAACCAATAGAAAGGAATTATTTAATAGATATTTATGTCATTTTCATTGTCTAATAATCATTTGATAAACATGAATATCTAATTAACTAACACTAATCAATTTCAACTTAATCAATAATTTTTATTTAACAAATTCATAAAATTATCTTAATCAACCAACAAATATATATAAATTACTTAGGTATGTATTATACTGCCCAGGACAGAGTTGGTTGGAGGGAACCGGTGGGCGGCCTACGCTCCATTGGGGTTAACAGGCGTAAGTAAGTAAGTAAGTAATGTATTAAACTCTTCTATCCTTAATATTACTTAAACTCTGTCTACTTCCTTTAATAACTGAAAATAATCCTAATTATAAATAGCATACAAAATTATGATGAGTTTTTATGATCAACTTACTTGCTGCATTACCATTATCTGCCAAATGTACATTGCCCATGCATTCGACAATGATTTGTGGTATAACTGCAAATCATAACAAAAGAATGTATCAGCTTAGCAAAAAAACAAAAATATGATTGTAGTTATGATTTAAGAAGGATTAGAACTTTTGCACTGAAGAGTTGCGGCTGCTATTGAGTTTCACTGAAAGCCAACGGACACCTGGAAGTAGTTAGTGCATGAACATTTTGTTACTCCAGTATTAGTTATTGCAGTCGGTTGAAATCTTGAACGATATAGTTTAAAATCGTTTGCAGTGGTGCAGGTGCATCCACTCGTTGTGTTCTCTCTAATTCTAAACTTCTGAATTCCTCATCACCTCTATGTTTACCTTTCTTAAGTAATCTCACTGAACTGTACTTCTTGAATAATATCTTTGAACAGCAATCTTCTCCATTACTGCTTATACTTCTACTATCGCTACCACTATGTGATTTGAAATGACCAGTGCATCTCTGTGTTAATGCGGTATGACAACCTGAACTTATGTTGTACTCGTGTACGAAGTTCTACGCTGTAACTGAACGACTGACTGACTGATTGTATTCAGTCAGGAATTGTAATACTTTAGGTTTACTAATATTTTAAAAACTAATCATTATCCTGATTATAGAAAAGAGAGAAACTCTGTTTTCATTTACAACTTATTATTGATTTAATGTATTCCATTTTATAGAATTTAAGAAACTATGTTAACGAATGAAATTGAAATGAACTACAATATCTCACTTGACAATTTGATACAAGTTTTTCAAAAATATATTTACACATTTGAAATCATCATCAATCAATCATTGTGTTAGACCACCATCATTAGAAACCTGGAAGCAGTGGACGGCCATCTCGTCCTGCTATGCACACTGCCATTGATGAGTCCTATACCAGGACGAAACAGCCCATTCAGTGCTTCCATGTTTCTAATGATGGTGGTCTAACACAATGATTGATTGACTGATTGATTGATTGATGATTTCAATGTGTAAAGAAAACACTAATCTCCATTACTCTAATTGAGAAAAAAAACAATGTATTTTCCTACACTATTATACACTCTAATTTGAAGCCATTTTGTTCAATATTCAAGGAAACTTCTTAACAATGTATATGTATGACAAAAAAAGGAGCATTTCAATTTAATAAAACATTGACATGGAGAAAAATAATAGAAAAGAAAAGTTGCCTTCATTGCTTACCGTATAAAACAATAATAAATAGACAAGTGCAATTTCCAAACTTCATGTTTGTTAATTAAACAATCACTGCACAAACAAAAATAATAAAGAAATGAAATTTCTTTGTAAAAATTAAAAGGTTTGTTTATATATGTGCTGCGACATTTCAGCTTAGTTAAATCGTACGATCGTACGATAGTTTACTTATGATAAGATTTGCTTTTGCGGTGTTTTTTTTGTTCTAGAAGGAGAAGTTATTTACAATACACAAAAGTCACCATCACCAAAAGAGAAAATAACAGAAGTTATTTGTTCTTTATAATTAGAAAAAGAAAACCGGTAGTCAATCATTTTATTGTAACAACAACAGAATCAAAATGGCTTCTCTAATCAAATCGGTCAATATTAAACATTCTTTACTCTCTCTCTCTCTCTGTGTGTGTGTCTCTTTGTGTGTCTGTTTTGCATACAAAAATTTTTATAAAATCAACTAAATAGAATTAGATAGTTTAAATATGGAATAAGTACTATGTAACTTACATATTTACAGAAGATATTTATCATTATAGGATTGTGAAGATGTCTAAATTTCATTGAAATCCAAAAAAAACCGATAAATGTTAGACCACCGTTAGGTAGCTGGAAGTACGGGACTCCATAGCATTATGCATCCACAACTTCTACGTGAACGATTAAAATTCAAGACTTTCGGTTTCGTGTACGAACACTGAATGACTGAGTAGTTTTGAAGGTAAAGTGTCTATACGCAATACGAAATATCATAGATTCGATTCTTGTGTACAGGTGTTGTACATGCATAATACTGATGAGATGCATACTGGTAGGAGATGACCATCCTGTGGTTTTAAGTTTCCTAGTGTTGATCTAACATTGATTTTAATGGGACAAATTTATCGGTTGACTTGTTTATGTGCAACAAGTTAATTACAAGTGATTGGTCATTATATCGGGGACGATAATATGTTTTACAACTTATTCCTAATGCAAATTGAGTTCTGTCGTTCAAGTTGCATAGTGGCTATTCATCTGATCGACTCGGTATACTTTTCTCTAAGTATAAGGTAGTTCAATGCCGTAAAACTCTTCATCTATACGAAGCTTCAAAGTCAGAATCCTTACCAGTGAACTATTCCACAGAGGTTGCTGCTATACTGGCTGTCTTCTTCTGCAGTTGATGTTGCGTCAAGGATAGGAGACCAAGATAATCTGCTAAGGCCGGATCGTCCAACTTCATCCAAACTATCCCCCGTGTTTCTCCCAAGACGTTGACGTCTTTATAATTCAGCCAACCATCATGAGTAAGAGAAAGGGTGAGGGTAAGCAACCTTGTCTGACACCAGTCTTCACTTGAAATGAGTATGGGAGCTGATCTCCATACACAATCTTGCAACGTATTCCATCATAAACATTTCGTATGATGTTAACTGTCTTCTCAGGCATGCCATAGTGTCTACAAAGCCCCACAATGTCATTCCTTTTTTCGATCGTTTTTCTCGTAGTCAACGGTGTATAAATAAACTAACGTTTTTTACCCACACATCGGTTATTCTTATTTTGGCTTTTTACGGTGGTTTATGGCTCTGTGCTCTTGGTGCTCTAAGAATATTGGACTCACTCCTAACTTTAGACTATTCCTTTTTATCAAGTTAAGTTTGAATAGTACTGGCTCACTAGAATTGTACCGTGAGCTTAGGCACGACCTCTCTTTACGTTGTATCCCGCTCATAGATATAAAAACAACTAACCTCAAACCGAGTGACTTGACACCATCTATTGCTTCTTGGATTTCATCCGAAACAGACACTTGCGAGCACCTGCTAAAAAGTGTGGCTGATCTTAAACACTCGAAGAGCCCACAAGCGGATACAATTCATAGCAACTCACAGAATGTCTGTAGGTCTGTTCACAGTAGGTTATCCAGCGATATTGATCTGGACTATTCGCTCTCAAATATATTCATTGCCTCAGATGAATATACTCAGACTGAGCAACCACTGGCCACATGTAGCAAGTCTGATCACAATCCAATAACCCTAATAGCTCAGAATACAACACCAATGCATTCGCCAATAAAAATTCTGAGGACAGTTTAAGCGTACTTAATGTCAACCAAACCATTCATGATTTACTACCTTACAAATGTCTGATCAGTGTTCCGTAAAATCCTGATCTTGAAACTATTTAAAAACGTGCGTGCAAAATGCCATTGTGTATAACGTACCTGACAACGTTAGTCCAAAGTCTGTAGATTGTCCCACTCTTGGTGTGTAGCACGCAGGCTACGTAAAGTCCAGAGTTAATTTTCTTGTCCCATTCTTCTTCATTTTAGTAGTATCATGGAAGCTGATCACTTCATTAATAGCCAGTTACTAATTAAATAAATTCCGCTAATTAGGAAGATCAGATATATTCGTGATAGAACTACAATACAACATCGAATCACCAATGGCCTAGCAACTAAGCAGACCAATGTGTGCACTAGTAATAGTTACAATCACGACCGTTAAATTAGCTCTACAATATCTACCTCTACCCTAACCCTAACCGAGAACAGATCCAACGAGACTACTAGTCTAAAGATCTGTCCCATAAATAAAAGAGTTGCAACTTGTCCCGTAATCAAAAGCGCATCTACCTGTAAACCACAAGTCAATTGCAATTCTATAATACATCAGCACTGTCCTAAAGGTAACTGGACAAACCTATTGGTTCGAATTAACAGAAATTCTCACATGAAACGTGCTACATGCTCCTACCGCCTGCCCTCAGTACTTAATCTACCTAGTAAAAAACAATACCTGCCCCCTACTACTCCAACTCAGGGCGCTACTAAACTTCTAAAAGTAGACCCCAGAACTCCTAAGAACAAGGACACACACTACAAATACTTCCCTAAACTCTAACCTTAGGCACCTCCCCATTTCTTAACCCGAAGCTTACTATCCACCCACTTGTGCACGAAAAGGCTAGAATGCTAAGCGTTGCTCAGAAAACTCATAAAGCTAGCCTGTTTAGGAACCCGCCTAATGTTACTAGATACCAGCCAAGCCAAAATACCTTCTGCGACTCTTAGGTCCCTCATCCAAAACATGTACCTTACCCGTTTTTATTGCTCACCCCTTCAACAGAGTTGTTTTACTATATCCAGTTGTTGAGGGCTATATTCTCACCTCCTTCAACTCATCCTCTGCATACTGTGATGCAATAGATGACAATTAATCTTTGCCTCTATCAGCCCCTTTAGTTGCAATACTTTTCTGTCTGGTCCTTTTGACTGACCACCTTACACATCGTTCACCGACTTGATCTACCCCACTCTACCTAATCCAATGAATCTTCGAAACGATCCATACTTATCCTCTTTAGCGACTTCCTCATCTGTTCTTCGGGGATCATCGGTTAACTTTAAACAACGATATCTAACATATACTTCCTCATATGCTTATCTCACCACATCAATCTCTGAATACCTCTCTACCACTAACTATGCTGTTGATAAATCAACCGACAATAGCTATAAAGTGTATATTCCTACTTTCTCCCCCTCTTCATATTACACAGCAAACAACTCACCAGATGCCCATCGTGCTTCCCTAAAGAATAGATATTTACCCTATGTAACACTGATGCTAATGAATTCCCGATATGTAATCAATAATATGACTCACATACTCTCCCTGCTCATTTTAAACAACCTTTCACTTGTCCTGAATACCGAAAGTTGGTTGTCCTCCGATGTCTCAGACCCATACCTCCTAACAGAATCGCGGTGATCGAGGCTATAAAAATGGTGGTGGTTGTCTCA